ATATAATTAGTATAGTTGAAGTCAAACTGGGAGAAAGGAACTTTTCAACATAGATTTCATCTTTATGAGAGAAATTTGGCAAGAACACACAGGAAGAAGGTCATGAGACAGTAAAATCAGAGTTATGAACTGCCTGGAACACTAGACTGAGGTTAACCAGAGAAGCTAAGAGGAGTTGAAGAGGATTAATAAACACGATCCAAATGAAGCCTTGTCCAACAGTTACATAAATTTAGGATTTTTAGTCTATAAAACAGATAATAAATTTAAAATTATTTTAAATCATCCTGCTATGAAACTTTGTGCATAAATATCTAAACAAGGAATATATCTTTCTATATACTTTCTCCATTATTATTAATTAACGTTTTAACTAATTGCAATGCTTACTGTTATTTACCTCTTACAACCAACCTCCTGCCTTCCAGAGGCAAATATCAAACAAGAGGAAGTATTTTTCACTGCTACATCCTAAACACCTACAAGAATACCTAGTACAAAGTAGACAGTCAATAGATATCTGAATAAAGTATCCTCACCCCTTTGTTAATCTTTTCAGTTGCTCTTGTGTTTTTCCAAGCTTTTTAAAAAAGAATTTAGTGTGTTATTACACACAGCAGTGGAAAACAAAGCTAGCAGACATAATTAACTTCTAAAACTCCCAATTTGGCATCTTTTTTCTAAACGAAATATTTTTATTTTTATTTCTTTTTACTTTCTCTATTGATTCTCAAGTGATTACAAGTGACAAGTGATTTCTCTATTGAATCACCGTGAAATACAGTTACAAAGCTTTCATGATTGAGTTTCAGTTACACAATGATCAAACACCCATCCCTCCACCAGTGCACATTTTCCACCACTAATGTCCCCAGTATCCCTACCACCATCTCCACCCCATCTCACCCCCTGCTTCTGTGACAGGCACCTTCCTTATTACTCAATCTCTCTCTACCTTTGGGCATAATGGTTTGCAGTACAGATACTGAGAGGCATCCTTAGTCTACTTTCAGTATACATCTCCCATCCCGAGTGATCCCTCCAACCATAATTGACTTAGTGTTCCTTTCAAGTGGATCATTCCATTCCAACTGCCTTCTCCCCAGCACTTAAGCCGGGCTTCCAAACCATGGAACAATCCTTCTTGCCCTTATCTTTACCATCCTTAGGTGTTAGTCTCATATTATGTTATTTTAAATTCCGCAAATGAGTGCGGTTGTTCTGTGTCTGTCCCATTTGACTTCATCTTTCCTGATAGCTGCATAATATTCGATTGTGTAGATGTACCAAATTTTCTTTAACCAGTCATCTGTTCTTGGGCACTCGGGTTGTTTCCAGATTCTGGATATTGTATAAAGTGCTGCAATAAACAAACAAGTGAAGATGTCATTTCTACTGTGCTTTTTTGCACCTCTAGGATATATTCCCAGAAATGGTATTGCTGGGCATATGGAAGTTCAATTTCTAGTTTTTTGAGGAATGTTCATATTGTTTTCCACTGAATGGAAAAAATATTTACTCAATATCCATCAGATAGGGGGTAAGTATCTAGAATATACAAGTTACTGTTAGAACTTTATAAGAAAAACTTCAAACCCCATAAAAAATGGGGAGAAGAAATTAACAGAAACTTCCTCAAAAAAGAAATACAAATTTCCGAAAGACACATGAAAAAGTGCTCTAATCATCTGGGAGAGGCAAATCAAAACAATAATGAGATGTCATCTCATATCACAGACATCAAGAAGAATAAGACCAGTGCTGGTGCGGATGTAGGGAGAAAGGGACTCTCATTCATTGTTGGTGGGTTTCCGACAAATATTTTTAAATAATTGTTAAAAAGTAGACGCAGATGACATAATTTTATCCCCATGTATTTAGCCCTGCCATCGTTTGTGAAATTACTATAAAATAAGAAATCAGGTGGGACATGGGGAAAAAATAGGAAAATGATTATTAGTCAGTTCCTGAGCGTGGAAAATTGATAGAATATAAACTGCTAATTCACTAAAGAAGTGACTACAGAAGAAATTATTATTTATGATAATCTAAACTTTTGACTCCCCATCTTAATGACATCTATCCACAAATTATTTTAAATTTCTTTTAGCTGTTAAGGACACTCAGTCTTACTTGCTTAGGGAAGAGAAATTGCATCTGTTAAGTTTAATTCTTTGAACTCAAATTAGTTTTCCAGTTTAACTAAACTCATTTAGCAGCAACTATAAAGTCTGTGAAGTTTGGCAGTTATTTCTACTTTATGTTCCTCTTACAGAGTAGAATTCCCTCCTCTCTGTATTTGCACTTAGTTAAGTTCCACTGCATGGTTCCTTTAGCCACCATATTTAAAACTTGATATTGACAGTTCTAGTGAAAATAAGAGTACCATTGCCATAAAATAAGACATTATTGTTCAGCTTAGGCACTTTTTAGATTTATCAGTGGCAAAGTGCTTTTTTTAAAATTTCTTAATTTTTATTAGTGAAACACCATGAGGCACAGTTGTAGACTTAAAAATTTTTGTGCTTGGGTTTCAGTTATACAATGATCAAGTACCCATTCCTCTGCCAGTGCCCATTTTCCACCACCACAGGTCCCAGTATCCCTCCCAGCCCCCATCTCCCCCATCCCACCCTGCCTCTGTGGCAGGGCATTCCCTTTTGCTCTCTCTCTCCTTTTGGTGTTGTGGTTTGCAAAAGAGGTATTGAGTGGCAATCATATTTGGTCTATAGTCTACTTTCAGCATGCTTCTCCCATCCTAGGAGGATCCTCCCAACACCCTTTATTTGGTGTTCCTTTCTCTATCTGAGCTCCCCTTTCCCCCAGCATGTGTGGCTGGCCTCCAAGCTATGGAGCAAAATTCCTGGTACTAATCGGCAAAGTGTTCTTGACTCCAAGCATGGGAAGGATGAAAAGATTTTAATTCTCAGAGCTTCTTTCTCCCCCCAAAACAAAACATTGATGTTCTGAACATAGCTTCACTGTAAGCACCTTGCAGAGAAAAGAGAAAGTATTCTTAGCAGGCAGAGAGAAATTCTTAGAACAAAGAGGGAGAGGGAAAGAAAAAGAAAAATGAAAACGAACCTTTTACCTTTCTTATCTGCTTTATAAAAATATGAGGGGAGGACACTTATATTGCAGTAGATATACTAGAGGGAAGTTAAAAGCAGTGGGAGCTCGTATGCAGTTTCCTATTTGAAAGCTTAGAAAAGGACCAAGAATCAGAGTCTACAATAACCCCAGAAGGTGATACAACAGAGTAGAAAACTTAGAACTTGGGCAAAGAACTGCCATGGAGCTGCTTGTCTCATTATTTGGTGTCCTTTAAAAAAAGACTAAAATTTCAGGTGTTTCTTCAGAATTCCCAGTGATGAACTTACACTTCCTCAATTGTGCCCAAAAGGAGGAGTAAGAGAGCTTATATGGTCACGGTCCTCCCGTTATTCATCGATTTGGGTCTGAAAAAATGGAGAATGTAAGACTCATTACATTGTAATGAGGAATGTAAGACAGTCCATGAGTGTTTTAGTCTTAGAATGCCTGCCTAGGTGAGAATTCTGGGGTGGATTTTCAGAACATTACCCTACTGAGTGTTTGGTATGGCACATACAGGCTGTTGTTACCTGATTGTTTTGGAGGTCAGCAGGAACCCACAGAAGTCACTTTTTCTAGCTTCTTCTGGGTTTAGAACCCATCTAAGGAAGAAGGTAGCCCAAGAGGAAATTTTGAAGGTGCAAGCCACTAAAAAAACTGTCAGAATTACTTATTCTTTTCCAATATTATTTTTCTGTCTTGCTTTTCCCCCTTGTGAACAGAAATCAATACAAGAGAAAACTTAAATAGGCTAAAAGAACTGAAGAAAGTAAAATTGTTTTTGTACAATACAGCCATATGTGCAGATATTCAACTATTTTCATGATTTGTTTCCGAGAAGGAATTAAAGGCTGAAATAGACAAAACATTCTCATAATCTAGAAAATGACCTTAATTTGTTTTATGGAATTTCATTTAGCTTATACAATTTCAGTACAGACAGTATAAATGTTCTTCAACTTGGACACAAAGCATTCTTTGAGATTTTTTAATGTACAGAAATACAGGTATCAGTTCTATTCCACATTTTTAATAAAGATATATAGAGAGGATCTTTATTGATTTTTTGAATGTTATAGTGAGAGTATAAAAAAGATTTTTTTGTATGTTTGGTTTGCAAGTCTTCCACAAGTAAAGCAAGCACGCTATCACTGGGCTATATACCTGGTCCTAGCAGAGATTTGAAATCTAGTTTTATTTGGTAAATTAACTATACATTGCTAGCATAGTTCCCAATGATAAACTGACTACTTGACCAATCATCAATAGTAGAAATAAGTATTTTCCGGTGGGATTTCAAAAATGGTACCCAATGCTATAGTTATAATGAGGAATTGGGCAGATATCAAGTTATGATTTTTCTGCACAAATTAAATGTTTTCTTTATTTTCTCAAATTAGAAATAAACCTGTGATGTTCAACGTGTTTACATAGTAGATATTTCTAAAGTTTGAAATGAATGTTCCTCAGAAAAAATATTTTTGCTTATTATAATTTTAGACAAAATACCTAATTTCAGAAACTGTGAAGATGGCTAAAGGTGTTGAAATATATGTGCAGCAACCCCAGGTTTCTTCCCTGCTGTCAAATATTCCTCCAAACACTACTAGGAGTGACCTTCCAGCAACAAATTAGCAATAGCCTTTCCACCCTCCTGAGAGTAGCCCAAGCCATCCTTTTTGCCCCCCGAAAGTACTACACTTCAAGTCAGATATAACTTTTATTTTAAACAAAAATTACAATTCATTTATTTCAAAGACAAGATAAAAAGGAAAGGTAATATAACTTCTCTAGACAATAAAATTACAGATAGAAATAAAATCGACTTTATGTAACAAATTGAACCAATCATATTACAACATAGTAAAATTGTCTCCCAAACATTACATATTTACATTCAAATCCAAAACTCTTACACATAAATTAAATGTCATACTTACTAGTTATAACAAAATGTATTATACTTCCATAGTCATTATGAATATATTTTACATGAGCCAACCATTTTTTCTTTTTTGGTAAACAGTGAAAATTATGACAGATGAAGGCAGTGTACAAGGGACATTAAATCAGCTTTGATCCCATTATTAAGAAACCCATAGAGTATTGGGTTCAGACAACAGGACATCATGCCTAACAAATGACAGATGCAATACACCAACTTGAAATGTCTGTTTGAAATAAGGTTATCGTTAAAATCAGTTACCACATGGAAAAGATGTAGAGGCATCCAGCTAACAGCAAACACTAATATCAATATGGTCAGTCTGTAGAAAACACTGCGAGATCTCTTTCTGATTCGCATAATGGAACGGTTTACTCTTATTTCATGAACATTAGAGTTTTCTTCAGCCTTCATTTCAAAGCACGTAGGGACTGCTGGGATGAACTTATTGGATGAGCAGGGCTGACTTCTCAAGTTCTCTGGAAGCATTCTTGATGGGTTCTCTTGAGGCCTTGGTGGAGCAGGTAACACACATGCTGTCTTCTTGCTGTATCTTCTTCTATGTTTTCTGATGAACGAATAAGTCCATTTATGGCTGCTGGGGAGTTTCGCCTGAGTCCCACTCTTTTTGGATGGCTGAAGAGTTAAGTTGATCATCTCCTTTTCTTCTTGTTTGTTTGGTTTGTTGGATAATCCACAGCTTATACTCCTGCAGACACTGGTATGACTGACAGTGAGACAAACTAAAGGCAGAATATACTGAACTAGCAATAAAGAGATAGTGAAAGCAATTCTGTATGAATCTGAAGGCCATGACTCAACACACAAATACCTACTGCTCAGCAATGCAGAGTCAAAGGTTTCCTGCAGTTCCACAAGGCGATGAAATACCGGAAGGGGAGAGCAAATCGCAAAACCTAGTGTCCACACGGTAGCTATCAGGAAATAGCCATGGTTTGCTGTTAAATTGTTAGATACAGGATGCTTGATCATATGATACCTGACAATGGCAATTGAGATTAAAATTAAAGTTGAAACAAGAACTGACACACACTGAAGGAAAGGCATAACATGACACATGACTTTACCAAACATCCACTGATCCAACAAGACAGAGGTCAGTGTGAAGGGTGAGCAAAACAGCACGACCAAGATGTCAGAAAAGGCCAAATTGCCTATGAGGAAGTTGACTGTGGTCTTCTGATTCCGCTTTCTCATGAGAGCCAATAAGATAAGCAGATTCCCCATAAAACCAAGAAGACTTACAAATGTATAGAGTCCAATCAAAAAATACTGTAGATCATCTACACTGCTTTTATAGTCATCCCAGACTGGGAAATCAGAATTCTGAGTGGCAGCAGTATCATTCTCTGCGCCAAGGGTCTTGTTATAATAATCCTCGTGTTCTAAATCCATATTATAGTCCTACGTAGAATAAACACACATTAGTTACAAACCTGAAAACAAACTATGTTACTATATCAATCCAAATATAATAAATTATAAGGATATAATGTTACATTTTAAAATTGGAGGAGAAAAAATATAGAATTTTAAGACCCCTACTTTACAGGATCTTATTAATATAACTCTCCTGTCAAGGCAGGTGATATATGCAATAATTACATAATTTAAACTTTATTACTTAAAGGCAAGAGCAAACCAGGTATCTCCTCTTAGTCATTCTATTGTCTGCATATAGTACACGGCACAGTAACTTCATCATTGCAGGAATCAAGTTATTTCCAGAAGAATAAAGTATTTAGGGGATAGAGTTAATTGTACAGTAATTAGAGTATTTGTCTTGCACGTGACCAATCTGGGTTCAATTCTCTGCATCCCTTATGACCCCTCTAGCACCACCAGAAGTGGTTCATGAGTGCAGAGCCAGGAGTAACCCCTGAGCATTGCCAGGTGAGGCCCAATAAACAAAATTTAAACAAAAACTTAGCATTATAAGTATAGTATAGTATTTTACAAACTGTACTAATTTGTAGATGTCCCATTTAAGTTTCTTGGGTATAAAAATACTATCCCAAGATGTCAGAGTATAGAGTTAGCAATGCTTATAGAATATAATAACATTGACTACATGTATGGAATGTTGCATGGCAAAATCATTCAATAATAAAGGTCTTTGGAACAACATGCCAGATAATCATGAATTAAGAAAGTACCACCAGTAGTTTTAGAAAGAGAATTAGTTGCTAATTTATTTATTTATTTAGTGGTTTAGGCCACATCTGGCAGTGCTCGGGGCTTACTACTGGCTCTGTGCTCTGTGCTCAGGGATTTCTTCTAGTCAGGTTCAGGAAATCATATGAGTTGCCAGGGATTAAACCTGGGTGTCATGTGCAAAGCCACTGTACCCTATGTACTATCACTTTGGTCCCCATTTGTTTATTTTTAAATTAAAAAACTGAAAATAGAGTTTAGCTTTAAAAGATTTCATGCATTTATTTTCAGAAAAATATTGTATCTAAGTTAAATGCAGAAGTGATAATAATATACTACTCTACAATTCTGTCATTTCAGAAGTAACTAATAATATTACTAGTACCACAATGATCTTACTAATTTGCAGCTACTTATAGAAATTTCCAGAGACTGAAATGGCACAAAACAGCTTTTAACCAGACTGATACAGGTACATACCACCTGAAGCTCATAACTGGCTGTGGTTTAAAGCAAATTCCAATACAGCAATAAGAGGCAAAAGGAACTATTCTTTTCCTTTAAACACATATGTTTTCACTCATTATTTCAGTAAGAATTTCCTACAGAATATTCATATCAACAATAAACCAATTCTGGTGAATATGCATATATAAATATCTTGCTATATATGTACCTTACACAACCATTTCACTATATGTCATACAACATATATTTATCTAAATTTTTTATATATCTAAATTTTTATCAATAGATTTCCTGATCTGAATTATAAAACCATATATATTTAAATTAATTATAAACACGTTATAATAATAAAGTCTACTTACAAAGAACTTTTAGAATACATCTATATCTTTTTAAGGTAAATTATTTCAAAAACTCAGAACCTTACTTATATCTATTTATTCTAGGCCCCAGGTTACATTATTGTCTTAAGTTAAAAGGATAGCAGGTTAAAAAGTGAGTCACATCCAATCCCATCAAAAAGTGGGGCAATGAAATGAACAGAGACTTTCTCAAAGAAGAAATCCGAATGGCTAAAAGGCATATGAGAAAGCGCTCTAAATCATTAATCATCAGGGAGATGCAGATCAAAACAACAATGAGATATCATTTCACACCATAGAGACTGGCCCACATTCAAAAGAACAAAAGCAACCTGTGTTGGCGCGGATGTGGTGAGAAAGGGACCCTCCTTCACTGCTGGTGGGAATGCCGACTGGTTCAGCCCTTTTGGAAAACAGTATGGACGATTCTCAAAAAATTGGAAATTGTGCTCCCATTTGACCCAGCAATACCACTCCTGAGAATATACCCTGGAAAGGCAAAAAAGTATAGTCAAAGTGCCATCTGCACTTGTTTGTTCATTGCAGCACTGTTTATAATAGCTAGAATATGGAAAAAACCTGAGTGCCCGAGAACAGATGACTGGTTAAAGAAACTTTGGTACAGCTACACAATGGAGTACTATGTAGCAGTTAAGAAAAATGAAGTCATGAAATTTACATACAAGTGGTACTACATGGAAAATATCGTGCTAAGCGAAATGAGTCAGAAAGAGAGGGACAGACATAGAAAGATTGCATTTATCTGGGTAACATAAAGTAACAAAATAAGAGACTAATACCCAAGAGCAGCTGTGATAAATACCAGGTTGTTCACTCCATGGCTTAGAGGCCAACCGCACACTCTAGGGGTAAAGGCAGCTCAGATAGAGAAGGGAGCACCAAATAAAGGGTGCTGGGAAGATGTGCCCAGGAAGGGAGATGCATGCTGAAATTAGTCTATAGACAGAACATGATTGCCACCCAATGTCTCTTCTGCAGACCACAGCACCCAAAAGGAGAGATAGAACAAAAGGGAGTGCTCTGCCACAGAGGCAGGGTGGGATGGGATATGGGGGGGTGGAAGGGATACTGGGATTGGTGGGAGTGGAGAATGGGCACTGGTGGTGGGATGGGTACTCAATCATTGTATAACTGAAACCCAAGCACAACAACTTGTAAGTCTACAACTGTACCTCATGGTTTTTCACTAAAAAAAAAATACTAAAAAAAAAAAAAGTGAGTCACAAAGGCCCACTGAATCATCCTATTTATTGTATTACCATCCTGCTTTACCCCCAAATGGGTTAGAGGGCAGCTAATTAAAGTAGTCTTGATTGCTTTCTCTGCCTAAGTTCCTGAGTTCTGATGACCCCTTGACTCTGTCTAGTTTGTGTGATTCTATTTATATTTAACATGAGTGCAACTGTTACTGTCTTTCTGTATAAGCTATCTTGTAACTCACTTTCTTGAAACAAATCCTTTTTAATGAGGAGCTATGATTGACTTTTATATTATAAAGCAAGGATTAAAAAGAAATCAATGGCTTTGATGGAACGGGTAACTGTAGGATGACGTTCATTTAGAGTAAATTATGAAGAAAGAGGGAATACAGCACAATTTGTGGCAATAGAAAGAATGTGGTTTTCAGTACAACACTCAAATTTTCTCTATTGAGTATGACCTGTCCTTTCTAAAAGACTCAATGTGAATAAGGAAAAATCTCTTCTTGCAATAGAAACAGAGCTTAGTAGAGTATATTATGCATAATGAAAGCTAAGTAAAAACTTGTTGCTAATCATCTTAGAAAAGTATTTTCATCTTCTCATATTTAATAGAAATATGATTCATGATATAAATAATTTGGGATGAAATACATATATAAATTTGGGATTAAATATAACTATGCATATATTTATACATGTGGAAGTATCATTATATGTGTGTATACACAGATGTGTATATGTGTCTGTTTAAACATACACTCTTTCAAGTGATGCCCAAAATGATACCAGGCACTATCTACATAGACAATTGTGATAGTTTAGCATTTTAAAGTATTGAATTACATATCTTCATTGACACAAGTTATCACATAGGCAACATAAAACTAAAAAAGCAAAAAAAAATATTTACAACATGTTTGTATTTAGATGAAGTACATCAAATCATATAGTTTGGTAATAAAACTTTTTTAGAAAACATATACACCAAAACTATTATTCATATAAAAATATCATTATAGTAGTAAGCAGATGAAGGAACTGCCATCTGAATATTCATTATATGCAGGGAAAACTAGGATAACATTTTCTTTCCTATCTAAAAAATGCTAATTTACATATAATTTTAAAGAGGAAATTTCTTTCATTAATAAAAGGCTGGTAATAAGGATTAGTTCTTTTATTCATTTGACTAATATTTGCTGAACATCTAAACAGGTGACTGCTCTGCTAGGCTGATGGCATCAAGAAAACTAATTTTTTAACAAGGAATTATTTATGTGATGACTAGACTGTAAAAATGAAGAGCCTATATATAGTTACAAAAATATTTACATGTTTGTGTTTAAATTAAGTACATCACTATATTTATATATATACATATATATATATACAGTAACAATAAGTATCACAATGGAGACGTTACTAGGCCCGCTCAAGCAAATCGATGAACAACGGGAAGACAGTGACAGTGATATATATATATACATATATATAAAGGTCCTAAAACAATGAATGAATGTTCAAAAGGCAATTTCCTGTCACAACTGTTCTTTTTTCACTATAGCAGGATTACTTGCACTGCTGCAAAACATAATAGATAATTATGTGTTTATTGATAAAATTGATAAATGATACTTTTTTTTTTACTTTCCTCTTCTAACATTTATTTCTTTAACATTTATTTGATTTTGTTACATTGTCAACTGTTGCCTGCTCACCATCAGGAACACATGCACATTAAATACCTGATATCTACCTGATACTCTTCAGCACTAGATGTGAATCTTTACTACTAGGAGTGACGTTTTACAACCAAATAATAGTAATTACTGCTGATGGAGTGGGGGAGGCTTGGGAAGGAATGTTAAGCTGTTTCTTTTAAAGTGCTTTGTTCTACATAATCAAGGGATATTTTAAATGTCTTAGAACCTTATCCAGGAAGATTGAAATATTCTGAAATTGAAATCAAAAGCACAGGAACTTACCCCTTCACTCACTTTTTCCTGGAAAGCACAGTGAGTAAGCCTAGAATAGAAATGTAAATCAGTTTAATAATCTTTCTAACAAGTGTCACAATGAATGTAGTTGAATTTTATCCAACATATTTTATGTATAGTATACATAAGCAAAACATAAGCTTATCTTTGTATCTCAGTAAACCAGATAAATTTTGAAACATAACCAGAAAAATTATTTCTAAATATTTGAGAGGAAATCTGATACTGTGTGAAACCTTTGTCTTGCTAAATTATGATATTGTTTTTCTTTTTCGTATCTACTTTTATCTTACAGAAAAAGAATTCCAAGGCAGAAACATCCAACTTTAATTCTAAGATTTAAAAAAAAAAAAGTGGGGCGGAAAAAAACTCTAAAAGTTCCACAATAGATTTTAGTATTTTTAAAAAGTGGTTTTGTAAAGATCTGCTGTAATTTTCATACTAAAATTGAGATACACCCGACATCAAGACAAACGAGTGCTTCAGAATAGGCCTTAAGTGTTTAAAACACATAGTTTTTTAGATGTACAGGAGAAAAAACTGTAGGGGAATCCAAAGAGTATAAAAGAAAAGGATCATACAAATAAGCTTTCTTTGTTAGGGTAATTTCTTACCCTATAAAAATGCTCATCATCTCACAAAGGAAGCCAACTCATAGGATAAAATACGTTTGATCACCCCCCCACCCCCACGGTAAAATCTCAATCGTTGTTTATTTTACTGTCATCTTAAGACAACGGCGAGAGTCCACGTTCTCAACTATTCCCATGATTTATTTTTAAAGCAGAATCTGGCAGAATTGGAGTTGGGAAGATAAATCCAGCTCTGCTCAGCTGACATCGGGACGCGCCACCCTCTTCCCCAATTCTAGCAGCAGACTTCTCTTCTCCGGAGAAATCTGAAATCTCGAACTGCATTTGGGCCCCCAAAATCGACCGAGGACGCCCGAGGCTAGTCCCCAGGTCTGGGGTACTTCGCGCTCGGGATCCCACACGATGGACCGCAAGGCTAACCTAAAGGTCTGTGAACTGGGGAGGGATCACAAGTATCTGGTTTCTGGGACTCGAGGTGCCCGAATGTATCAGGGACCCACCGCAAGGACCCGATGCAGCCGAGGGCAAACTGGAGCAGCTGCCCCTGGGTCTGGGTCCAGGGTGGGACGCCGCGGCGTCGGATGGACGGTACCCAGAGCCTAGTCCTGGCCGCGGTCCCTTGCAGGTCCCCAGTCCGGGACCCA